CGGGGCCAGGCCCCCTTGGGGCCGCCTCCTGTTTTTGATGTTTTGGAATATCCGGTTTGGTTCCCATAAGAAGAGAGTCGGGGCTGACCAGCCCATGTGCATCTACAGAACCACGTGTTGGAGTCGAAATCTGACCACCCGGATGGCCCGGGCGCGCTGGAGTTCTACCGCCTCAGCGGTCGCGTCGAGAAGGCCGTCCGGGCGTATAGGAAGGAGCTGATGTCGGATTTGAGGTTCATGTGGCCGAAGGCGGTATGCGTGGACGGGAAGCCTGCAGAGGGGTGCCACCTTGGGATTTGCACTGATCAGGAAGTCGCTGAAGAGACCGCGCAGTTCGCCAGCTGCGCGTTGACCCGGGCCCTGAACTACGTGCTCACTGGCGTGACCCCCGAGCATCTCCAGCGGGCCTCTGTGCTCGCATCAAAAATGGTGGAGAAGTTGCGCTGCTTGCGCGCAGCTCGCAAGCGCCCGGCCGCCGCGAATCCGCAGAGGAAAAAATGAGCGGCAGGCAGCCGGGCAGCCGAGACATCCTCGGAACTTTGGGCTCGGAAATGCCATGACTTGAGGCGATCAGGCCCGTTTCGTCTTGAGACGTCTTCACGTCTTGACACGTCTTCCGACGAGCGCCAGCCACATCCCTGGTTGTGTATAATGTTGCCGCTCGAGAGCCAGCCAAATCCCCGATTGGTGTATGGGTGCTCTCGGCCAGGCGTTGTGTTCTATTTCTGCGGATGCATGGCCTGTGCGGCCATGTGCGGACATGGCGTGGTCTTCTTGACATACGACCCCGGGGGCGTGGACCATTGAGGCGTATGGCATGCGCGGGCATGTGCGGGGAGGCGGTGGCTTCAATGCCGCCTCGCGCAGAGGTGCACAGGTGGGTGTGCACGCACTGTGCGGCATGCGCGGCGCGAGAATCTAGAAAAAGAAGAAATGAGCCAACAAGAAATGAACCTCCAAGAAGTGAGCCCTGTGTAGGGCTTACGAAATCTTCCACGGGCCCAAGTGGGCCCAGGATGCCCCAAGACAACTGTTCCTCCCTCTTCCTCCTCCCTTTTTGCCCCTCTTGCACGGGAACTGATAACCGAGGAGGAGGAAGGGGAGGAGGAGGAGGGCGAGAGGAGAGTAGAGGGGAGAGAAGCGATGAGGCGAGCATCTTCGCTTCAGTCGGGGATTATGCCATCTGCGATGATCCGCTCATTCGTGTTTTACTGCAGTCTTGCATGCCTACCGAATCTATGCGAAACGGCGCGAGCTTTGGGATCGCCGTTGAGAGATTTAGCTTTCTTCACTTGGGCGTGATCTGTTCATCACAACAGGAGTTCGCAAGTTTCGGATCTAGGATTGTTTCGGCATCGCTTGCGACTGGCTGTGTCTCGGACGGCCCGGGCTGGACACACACGCACACACACACTTCTTCACATGTGTGCTTCTCACCGAAGGCCTCAGCAATGATTTTTTGCACGCGTCCCCCCGCCTATTTCGGCGCAGCCTTCCCGAAGGTCGTGGCTCCATCGGGAGCTCCACCGAATGTCCCAGTGGCAGGGTCCGCGTGCGTCCCCCCGCCAAGTTCGGGAGGCCCATCACGAGGATCGCGGCCTCACAAGGAGCTCCACGGGTCGTGGCCCCTGCGGGAGCTCCACGGGAGCTACTACTACTACTACTACTACTACTACTACTACTACTACTACGACTACTACTACTACTACTACGACTACTACTACTACTACTACTACTACTACGACTACGACGACTACTACTACTACTACTACTACTACTATTTCTACTTTTACTTTTACTACTACTGCTAATTCTATTTCTATCACGACGACTACTACTTCTTCTTCTATTTCTACTTCTACTTCTACTTCTACTTCTACTTCTGCGGCTACTATTATTATTTCTACTACTACTATTACGTGTACTTTCACTTTTGCTTTCACTTCTACTCCTACTATTACAACTACTACCACTACCACTACCTCTACTACTACTACTACTACTACTACTACTACTACTACTACTACTACTACTATTTTCTACCACTACTACTAAATACTACTACTACTACTTCTTCTTCTTCTACTTCTATTTCTCCTTATATGTCTACTTCTACTACTACTATTATTATGTCTACTACTACTACTTCTACTTCTACTTCTACTTTCACTTCTACTTCTACTATTACTACTGCTACTACTACTACTACTACCACCACTACTACTACCACCACTACTACTGCTGCTACTACTACTACTACTACTACTACTACTACTACTACTACGACTACGACTACAACTACTACTACTACTACTACTACTACTACTACTACTACTACTACTACTACTACTACTCCTGGGCCCCCGGGCGCGCATTGGAATTTGTTTCTTTCCGGGCGGGCCTCCAGGGGTCCTACGTGGGAGTCGCCCGGGCGATGTTTCTGTACATGTTCCTGTACATGTGTTTCATGTGGTTCTCCTTACATTTCGGTGTTGCCCCAAATTGAATATGTTTCATTTTCGGGTGTGTTCGAAGACGGTGAGCTCGTCAGGGGTGATGGTGGCGATGATGATGATGATGGTGATGATGATGATGATGGTGATGGCGGCCGTGGTGATGATCAGGACGATGTGGGGGGGCGGTGATGGGCATTCTGATGATGGCGATGACGATTGTGATGATGATGGTGGTGGTGATTTTTTGATGATGATGTTGCTGATGATGCTGATGCTGACGGTGATGACGATGACGGTTTCTGATGATGCTGATGCTGCGGTGATGACGACGACGACTGGGCTGGCTGCGCTGTAGGAAACGACGACGACTGGGCTGGGATGGGGTGATGATGATGATGCTGACGACGACGACTGGGCTGGGATGATGATGATGCTGCTGGCGACGACGACAACCCAAGGTAACGTACGGAAACCCATGAACACCCAAACCAACGGAAACCCACGGAAATTTAAACACACGGAAACCCACGGAAACCCAACCCAAATCCAAACGCACGGAAACCGACGGAAAGCAACGGAAACCCAAACTCACGGAAGCCCACGGACACCCATGGAAGCACAGACCCACGGAAACCCGCGAAAATTCAACCCAAACCCAAACGCACGGAAACCGACGGAAACCAACGGAAACCCAACCCAAACCCAAACCCACGGACACCCACGGAAACACAAACCAACGGAAACCCATCCATCGGAAACCTATGGAAGCCCACACCCACGGAAACCAATCAGTTACAACGTTTTTTTTCTCTTTCTCCCTCGTCTTTTTTCCTCCTTCCTCCTCCTCCCACTTCCGCGCTCTTCTCCTCCTCTTCCCCCCTTCCTCCTCTTCCTCCTCCTCCCTCCTTCCCTCCTCCCCCCGCTTCCCTCCGCCACCTCCTCCTCGTTCGGGGGAGTCCCAGGGAAGGAAGAGGGGGCTCTCCCTGCGGCGCGCCGCGCCCAAAAAACTTGGATCGCGATCCAAGTCTTCCTGGGATCGTGATTTCAGTCGCTTCCAGGCCGGAACCAATGTCATCCGAGGTTCCTTGAGCAAGGTCGCCTCTGAAGTGAAGTTCCGGCGACGCGCAGAGGGGGGATGGGTCTGCACGAACGAACTGAGTACCGAAAGAGTGGATACCATGCCCAGCAGCTACTCCTGTTCATTTTGAACAGGACTCGCTGTCCGCGGGCTGTGCCCATGTGGGACAGAAGGCCGCCTGCCCAACCGCGGCCGCTGTTGGTTTGGGGCAACATCTGCTGTTGGGCATTGTGCTCATTTTTGTCCGTACCACTTCCGGGCGTCGAAAATGGGGGAGGGGGGAAGGCTTCTACGATGCAGCCTGCTTCCAAGAAGCCTTCCCCCCACCCTCTGCCCCCTTGTGCGCGCCGCCGCAGCAGCTCCTGCTGGCCCCAGGCCGCCGGGACTGGGGTGGGGCGCCTCCTCCCGGACGAGCCCCGGAGGCGGACGGCTTGCGGTGCCGGCGTCGGGGGAGCATCGTTTTCTGCTGCCCGCGAACCTCGGTCGCACGAGGTCCCGCAGTGGACGGTCCCAGGGCCCGCGCGGCTGAGCACTGATGTTCTGGGCGGTGCCCTGGTCGAAGCAGGCGATCTCTCGAGAGTCCCGGCCCCTCCGGCGTCTCACCGCCGGCCTTTGGAGGGAGGGAGTGCGCGGAGGGGAGCTCCTTTGGCTCGGGGGAAAGCGGGTCTAAACTGGGCAAGCCCAGCGAGGAGGAGCAGGATGACGTGGAGTAGGCAGGAGCGGGCTGGAGGACGAGGATCTGAGCGAGACATGAGGGAGCCATCTGGGGGAGGAGCAGCGCTGGTCTCGCGGACGTGGAAGAGAACGAGGTGACGAAGGGAGTGGCGGGGGACGTCCTGGAGGAGAAGGAGGAGGGCAGGAGGACGAGGAGGAGGAGGAGGAGACAGGGCATTAACGCGGACCTCCGCTGACCTGCCGCGTCGCTGGCAAGAAATCAGATGGCCTGACCTTGGCCTCATGAGGAAGAGCATGTGTAGGATTAAGTCAGGCCTGTCCCTCTACGGGGGGAATATTCAAACATAGTTCAAACAATTGTCTGGAGAATTATGTTTGAACATGTTTGGGCATCTTCTGAGCATGTTTCGGTTATTTGTTCGCCCAAATCCCCCTGTAGGGGGCACGCCCGACTTAAGTGTAGGAGGAGGAGGAAAAGGAGAAGGAGGAGGCGGGAGGATGTCGGGGATGCCGGAGGCGGACGAGGCGGAGGAGGCAAGAGTTGGAGGAGCGCCCGTGTCAGGAGAGGAAAAACACAGACACAATTAATCGTCGATCCCCCGGAAAATATTGGAATATATGGGAAGTGGGGGGGAAGACAAGAACCCAGGAACTATTTGAAAATATAGGGAATCTTGTTATTTGTGTGTGTCCCAGGGCCTCTTCACAGTTGGGGGAGGAGGAAATGGCACAGGGACCGTTCGCTCCCTCGGGCCAACCTCTCTGGCGGGCGTGTCAGCCTGGTGTGTGAGGTTGCCGCGATGCACCGCGGCCTCTACGTGAAGGCGCCCATGCCACCCCGCGCCGCGCGGAACGGCAGGCTGATAATACAGAGCAGCCGGGAACGGGAGGGCGCGAGGCACAAAAAGACCAGATGCACGAGAGAGGGGGACACGAATCACAGGTGGAAGAGAAGGAGATGATGAAGAGAGGAGGTGCGTAGGACGCGGATGAGGAAGGAGCAGCATCAGCACCACGCGGATGTGCAGAAGAACCATAGGAAAAGGAGGAGGAAGAGGCGCGGATAGCGAGGAAGGGGAAAGGGAAGAGGGGGATGACGAAGAGAGGGATGAGGAAGGTGAAGAGAAAGTGGAACAAGAGGATCATGAGGAGGGCACGGTTGAGGCTAGGAGACACAGCTGAAGAAGGCGGAGGGGGTGTAGCTGAGGAAAGGGAAGGGAAAAGGGGAAACGGAAGGGATGGTAGAAGCAGCAAGAGGACGTGCATGCGAAGGAGGAGCACGTGAATGAGCGCCCCCCCCGCGGCGACGGCGACGGCGGCGTGTCCGCCGCCGCCGCCTGCCGGTCGCGCTTCCCCTGCACTGAGCGGAGGGCGTCGCGGATGTCGCGCCCGCGCCCCCCTCCAGTCTTTGCCCGGGCAGGACCCGTTCCGATGCGACCGTCCCGATCCGATGTCGGTTTCAGTGCCGACCGGCCGGGTCGGGCATGTGGTCTGGCTCGCCTCCGATCTGGATGTTTTCAGACGGGGGTCCGAGGGGAGCCTTTGAGCGACGGAAGAAGATTGTGCCGTCTGCGCCGGCAGTGGCGCGAAAGCTGCCCCCGTAAGGTCGCGCGTAAGCGCCCTCGATTCCCATGCAGCGGCCCGCGCTGGCGGCCCGCGTAAGCCGCGGCGTGAGGTCGCTATGTCATCTCGCGTAAGACCAATGTCTTTTCGTCGCTTATCCGAATCCTTGTTCGGAGGTCCATTGAAGGCCCCTCAGGGCGGCCATTTGGCTCCAGAGAGGCCCCAGGGAGGGCCATAAGTTCCTCACACAGTTTGGATCCTCTGCATGTGTCCTCTCTTCTTCGAGCAGGAGGTCGACTGCAGAATCCAACTCCACATGACGTTGGGCCTTCCGTGCTCGCCCATGGCACCTTTTGTACGCGCCATGTTCACTGCGCTCGGCCCTCAGAGGCCCGTCGAGCCCATGCCTGCGCAGCGATGTTTGCCGACGTGTTCGGACAGCCCCGTGTTCGTGGAAGTGGAAGCCCAACTCGGATGTAGGCAGGACCCCGGAGAAGGGGAGCCGGTCGGTGATCGGCCCCCGAAGCCCCAAGTCTGCCGCAGCTGGTCACCACCCACCAAACCACCCCCAACCCAACCCGAAGGCCTCCATTTGCCCTCCATTTCCAGTGAGGGGGGGGTCGGGCAACATTGAGCAAACACATGGAACCCAACCCGATATTCGGGTCAAATTTGGGTCTTCGGGATGGGTTGGGGTGGTCTGGTGGGTAGTCGGCTGGTGCTTTTCTGGGTCGCGGCAGGTCTGGGTCGCGGAGGGGGGCGGCGGGCGTCCTCGGGTGCACATCGCCAGACACCAGGCTCCATGACGCTTGGCCCCGCCAGCGCCCCGCCAACCCAGCCGCTGGGGTGCCACTCCTGGGGGGGGGGGTCCCATTCTGAGGTTGCCCTGGGCCGAAAGCCGGCTCGATGCGGCTTGCTTCCGCGTGAGAAATGCTCAATCCCGCTCAATCCGTCTTAATGCTTTGTAGATCCTTTTTGCAATTCCTTTCAAACCGCGGCCGAATCCGGCGCAGCAGCCCCCCGCTGGGGCTCAATCCTCGTTGAATCTATCTGGCGAAGACCTCCCAGTCTTTGCCGCCTAACAGCGTCTTAATCACATGACCACCTGGGGCACCTCCCCTCGGCGGCGAGCACGGGGGGGAGTCAAGCAGGAGGGAGGCGCCTTCACAGAAGCCCTCGCGCCCTCTGAGAGGTGTTCTGCGTCTTCGGGGTACAGAGGAGGCCCATGCCAAAAAGCACCCTGCTTGCCTCCAGGGTGCCCTGGGTTTCTCGGATTTCGATGGTTTTGCGGTGGAAAGCGTGACGCTGCCAAAAATCAATGGACGTCCTGGGGTCTCAGGGTTGGGCTTCTTGTGGAAGGTGCCTTGTGGTCGGGTTCCTCTTGTAGGCTTAGAAAGGTTCTCGCAGGGCCGGGAGACTTCCGGGCCCTCTGCGCTTGCCCGCCCCTCTCCGCTTTCCCCATGGGCTCGCCGTCGATCTTGCTGACGTGCTCCCCTGTGGCACCCCACCTCCTGTTCTAGACCCGGCCCCCGCTTTCATGCTGGGGCGTCGCTTGGCGGCCAGAAGCTGGAGCAACCGTCGATTGGCTCGGGGACCATGGCTCACTATCTTGCGCCCTCCCCCCAAAAAAAGAGAGAGAGAGAGACAAAACAACGCAACTACAAAACAAACAATAAGAAAAAACTGCAAAAACTATCTTGCGCCCTCCCCTGCCCCTCGCCCCACGACCCTGCCACGTCCCCAGGGGTCTCAGGGCTGGGCTTCTTGCAGAAGGCTTCCTGTGGTCCGCTCCCACTGTACGCACCTGCGCCAAATCGCGCTCGGCAATCGACCGCCTCGGAGCGACGCGCTCACTATTCGACTGAGGCGGGTCGGCTCCCACCTCCGGGTGCAGGTGCAGGCGGGGTGGGAGGCCGTGGGGGTCGCGATCTCCAGCAGGCCCTTGTTCTTCTCCGCCAAGAAATCCTCCACATTGATCTCCACCACCCCTCAGCATGCAGATAGATCCACTCATGCATTGCCAAGGGATGTGCGCCATGCGACCACCTTGGCACACCTAGTCGTAGACGTCGTTGTGTGCCGGCACACGCAAGAACTGACATCGCTCAGACTCGTCTCTGCACTCATTGGAAATCGCTCTCCCAACTGATGCGTGCTTTGCTGCTGCTGCGACGGACACCACCTTGTGGCCTCCTCCACGAAACTGAGGTGGCCGGAGATGATGATGCCAGGTCTCGGCATCATTCGCAGCGACATCAACCTAGCAGATCTCTCGCCCTTTGGTACCGTCTGCTCCCTGCCTGGCAATCCTTTCTATCTGGCGCGTGCTAGCCAACCTGTCACCGACGCATCGGTGTAGACCATTGGCCCCAGTGCATTTTCCGACGAACTTCAGTCTTCATGTCGGGCTGCCTCGGCTGCAACGTCTCCCGAGGCAGACCGTATGTGGAATCGAACGTCTCGCAGTCTCCGTCTACGACGACCTTGCCTGAACTGGAGCACCTCCTCAGGGATATGGTCTGGCAGCACATCCGATACCTCCAGCAACTTCTCGCAATAATTCCATTGATGGGCCAACGTTCCCCCCGGGCCCCCACGGTGGATTCATTCCCTTGACTTGGCCAGTCCCAGATCAACGGCCCTGTCTGGGTAGAGCAGGCCGCCTGACCTCAATCTTGCAAGCGCTCCTCGTAGCATTCCAGCCGCTACCTTGGAGCACTGTCTTCGTCATAGCCTCGCGCCAGAAGACATCATCATCCGTACGTTCTGGCGAATGTTCTCGAATACAAAGCACCTGCAACCCGTATAAAGATTGCACCAGCCTGGCCTCAAGGTCTCTAGGGGTCAGCTTAAATAATGCATACGCTTGCCAAGGATCATCTGCTAGATCGGTCAAGCTGAGCAGCTGCCAATTGCTTCTGGTTGGCGTCAGCCACACCCATGCCACAGGCCCCCTCGCCATATGTCAAGGCGGCTTGACGGTGGAGAACTGATCAGCCACACACTCCCAGGCATAATACAGCTCCGACATCCGGATCGCCCCGTCCCCATCGTCACTCGCATATTTCTTCACCAGCAAAAACGTACAATCAAACATTGAATCGAAGCTACCATCAATTTGACATGAAAGGTGTTGCAACTATTTCGGCTCAAGCCGTTTGGGCCTAAGGAGAGCAGAGTGCCAGTGCCAACAGCCGTGCTCATTTTCCTGTGGACATCATGTCTACATCAGGTGTCCTCAAGAGCATGTTCGCCGAAAAGGGTTTCGGCTTCGTGACCCCGGATGACGGAGGAGATGATTGCTTCGTGCACGTCAAGGACAACCCCGAGCTCGACGGAATCGATTCAGGAGGAGACGCAGTGACATTCGACAAGGAGTGGGACGATCGCAAGGGCAAGTACAAGGGCGTCAACTGCAGGGTGACAGGTGGAGGCGGCGGTGGCAAAGGCAAGGGCAAGGGCAAGAGCAAAGGCTACTCCGCTTGGTGAGTACAGGCATTCCAGGTTCCTGCTGTGCTGGCGGTGAGGGCAACAGCGCGAGCGCTTGCGACCAGTGAGCAGAATTTGTCCAGGTGGCGCGATGGGCTCGCCGTCTTTATGTAGCCCAGCGAGTGAGCAATCTGTTTTCGCAATGGTTCCCCCCTTAAAAAAATATGGAGTAGAACAGTAGAGCGTGAGCGAGGAGTTGCTGGCTGCACCGATCATGCCGCAAGCATGCTTGCGCAAGTGCTTGAACACTGTGTCTGTATTACCGCTGACCCTTGTGCCGTGCCCGACCTGTGGTAGGAGCCCCGTACGCCACAAGACCCCCAC